TAATTCCAGAGTCCCTCAGTTAATAATACTTCAGCAAAGAAAACTTTATACACACTTTCATTTAAAGTTCCAAAACTCCCATTTACAGAAGTGTATGGCAAGGCAACCTTACAGAGGAATGAATCTCTGTATAACATGGTTGGTCTTTCTCTAGACAGATTCAACCCCCAAGGCACCTGAAAACCAGACTTCAATGAACCTGGACATAAGAATATACTCTTTTCTCTCCAGCGAGCAATGCTGGAAAGGGTAGGTAACATCACATTCAAATTTCATTACACCATATATTTAAACTATAGTGTGTTCTTGAAGTTAAACCTAAAGTTGTTCATTTATTCCATCCATTTATTCTTCATAATAAATGCAAATAAGTAATGGATTTTTAAAATTTCATTCTTTCAAAACTTGAGTACTTTTTCAAAAAACAGCATGGTGGACTGTGGTAGTTACATAATCTGGTGTCAATTTGGGACTTGATAGGATTAAGAGTGAAGATGACAGTCTAGTCTGTCAGTTGGATCATAGCCAATAAGGCCTCTGTGTAGGCATGGCCTTTTCCTGAGAATTTTGGGAATTCCTGAATTTCCTCCTTGGAGGCAGGAAAGACCATCTCTCTCTGTCCCTCTGTCTCTCTCTATCTCTCTGTCTGTCTGTTTGTCTGTCTCTGCTCACTCCCTTGGAGACTCTCTTTCTCTCTGCTCGCTCCCTGAGAGACGCTCTACTGACAAGACACATGGCATTTTGCTGCTAGACCCTGGGAACTGGAGGAGCCACATGGAGACTCCTGCTAGAGTTGAGATGCCCTGGGAACTGAAGGAGGCATGTGGAGACCCCTGCCAGTGCTGAGATGCTTACAACACCACTGGATCTAAAAGACTTCCAGCCCACTGGCCTGTGATCTTCCTGCATTCGGCGCCATTGCATGTGTTTCATGAGTCTGAAGAGGACCATACAAATTGGTATCAGACATATGGGCTAATATTGGACTTATGGACTTGATCTGGACTGGGCTGGGATGTTTTCTCAATATTCAATTGCTCTTGTATATAAACCTCTTTCTTATACACATATGCGTGTTTATGAATTTGTTTCTCTAGTGAACCCAGACAAACAAAAAGGGACCATACCTGACATCCTTTGGGTTCCCTCTGTCCAATAGGCAGGGGTCAGGATGCCTCCACACTCCATCCTTTCTTACCTACTCTGAAACCAACCATTCCTCCCATGATCCTCTACTTCTGTACTGGGTTTGATAATTCATTGCAATGGCCACATAGAACACACAGGCAATACTCACAATTCTGTGGGGTTATTAAGGAATATTTTTTAAAAAAGGAATTTAAATGCTTACCACAGTCAGAATCAGTAAATAGTGAGGGTGTAGTCAGTGGTCCACAGCAACTCTTCTCTTCAGCCTGCCACCAATCCTCTTTCTGATCTTCACCCTCTCAATCACTTGGTCCCTTGGCTTCTGCCTTCCTAAACCGGAAGGTCACTTGTCACTTTCTCACAGTCCTATAGTTTCAGTGCTGTTCCTTTTGTTCTGTCCCATAGTCTCAGTGCCACAGTCTCTTGTGCCTCTGTTCTTGCCCTCCCCCATGTTAAACAGAGGTCTGGAATGTGATCTTCTGATGGGACTGGGATTTCTCACTTTTCTGCTGGCTCAGAGATGGTTCTCCCTTATAGTTAGAGGGGTGATAACAAAAACATGCCAAACAGCTCTATTCGTGTTACTTGTGCGTTATTTTCATAATTTCCACCCAACCATTTGTTGATAGTTACACAGACTTGCGTAGAAGAATCATATTAAGAAATTCCATGCACACCCCATAAAGTCATACAAATTTTCAGGTGAGGTTGTTAATTATATTCTCTGGGAGCTTGTTGTTGGCTGAATCGGTGGTTCCACCTCACCTCACCTCACTGCCATTGAAGTTACTGCCGACTCATGGCGACCTTATAAGACTAGGTACACCTGTCCCTGTGAGTTTCTGAGACTGTAACTGTTAACTGGGAATAGAAAGCCCCCTCTTTTTCCCTTGGAAAGACTGGTGGCTTTGAACTGCTAACCTTGCAGTTAGCAGCCCAATGCATAACCACTACGCCAACAGGGATCCCAAATGTAGCGGTGGTTAGCTTCCTGTTATTTTTGTTTGTTTCATAATATTTATGATCCCAAAAGCTGATTATGATATGGCCAGAGTATTAGAACTACACTGCATCATTCAAGATGAATTTTTACTAAACAAGGACTCAGTTTATGGATCATCGATCCCAGTGTTCATAGAAGCAGACAAGAGGACAACACATTTCTCAGAATCCGATTCTGCTGCTCTGCCAGTGCGTCATGGGAATCTTTTCCACACAATCTACAGTGGAACACTACTGCTTGGTGTTACTGTCCTGTGCTTCTCTTGCTAACCTTTAAAGTCCCTAAGAAAGCAAATGTGAAAAGACAATTGTCGTTAGACCAGTGGCCTCAAAGATGAGCATTTTTGCCACCATGAATGCAGTAGTGTCTCTGAGAATTAAATACATGTCGGGTAATTTGGGAAAAAAGACTAAATGCTTACAAAACATTTTCGAATTGACCTGATAATGCCTAACCACTTACTCCAGTCCCCTGAGCCAATATTTCCAGTTTTTCTAACCTAAGCTAGCAATTATTCTGACAGATGGCCTGCATACCAACCCTTCCTAAGAAAGGTGACATATTCAGACATTAGGTAATGTTTTAAAGTATAACACTAAATGGAAACTATAATGTTTCTCTCCATATATTTGCATTTCACAGAAAATGGGCAAATCTTCTAGCTGCTTATTTTTCTAGATCAGGTTTGGCACTACACCATGTATTACTGCCATTTTCATTTTAAAAGCACGATCCTTTCTGATTTTGCAAAGAACAATTTCAGGGAACAGAAAACTAGTTAAGAAAGAAGTCTATCAGAAAAAAAAGTTCCCTAATAATTAATTTCTCTCATCATTATGAAATAAAACAGGAGTCAAAACCATGCTTTAATAAATGATTTATTTTTAGCATGTTGTTAGAACACCAAGATTTTACTTCTGCTAGTCAGCCAGGGAATAAAGTTAGTGGTCCCTGGGGTTCTATCTGTTAGGCCTTTTTATATTTTAAAGTCGTCATCCAGGTTGTCAGAAGATAAAGTCTCACAGCAATGTTCCTTCCATAAACTTGAGTCTGGTTGCTCCCAGTTGTCTCCCATAATCCACTTCAAACTGAAAGTTTCAAAATACTCAAGACGATGACTTAAGGAAAAATTGAGGAGGAAAATTGTGAGTATTTTATGCAAGCCTGTATTTATGTATTCATTAACTACAAGGGAAATTTTAAAATAGAAAACTAATATGTATAAGGTGGCTTCAAATATTTGGTAGAAAAATTCCATTTTCTTCCAATTATGTTTTTTCATCAAGTTTTTGAAGCCCCTTTGTATATGCTTTAATGTCATAACTATACCATATTATTTTTTAAACTCTGCAATATTATTTTATAATCGGTTTTATACACCCTCACATAAACCATTGTATGTATATGCATAAATATTATGAAAGTGTGAAGAAACCATCCTTTCTACGCTAATAAGAGATTCCTTGTTGCTAGTTACCATCAAGTTCCCTCAACTCCTGGTGACCTCATGTGGAGAGATGAGCTGCTCCCTAGGGCGGTCAAGTCTGCACACTTTCAGATGAAGACAATGAAAGCTAGCTTCCGAGGCACCTCTAGATGGCTTTGAACTGCCAACTGGTAGAGTGCATAACTGCTTGTGCCATGCTGGCTGCTAACCTATATATATGACAAAACTTCAAAAAGGTTTTAGAAAAATCCCATTCTCTTTTTGTTACATTTTTTAAGCCCTTGGTGGTGTAGTGGGTGACATGTTGGCCTGCTAACAGCAAGGTGGGAAGTTTGAGCCTAGCAGCTGCTCTGAGGGAAAAAGTTGAGACTTTCTGCTCCGTAAAGATTTATAGTCACAGAAGCCACAGGGCCACTGGAAGTCAGATTCAGCCCAGAGGCAGCAGTTTTTGTTTCAGCACATGTTTTGTTGATTTTTGGTTCAGTACATGTTTTGTTGATTTTTGGTTCAGTACATGTTTTGTTGATTTTTGGTTCAGTACATGTTTTGTTGATTTTTGGTTCAGTACATGTGTTGCTGATTTTTGGTTCAGTACATGTGTTGCTGATTTTTGGTTCAGTACATGTTTTGTTGCAGCTGTGTACCAATGAATCAATTCCAACTCACAGTGACCTGATAGGACAGAGTGGAGCTACCATATAGCATTTCCCAGGGCAAAATTGTTTTTTCTTTTCTTCTGGCACTAAGTCTTTTCTTCCATAAGCAACAGTAAGTTCAGCTAGAAGCTAAGTGATATCTATATATATAGAATATCATATATACACGGAATCCAGGAGCAAGAATGGGAGTAGCGATACCAGAAGGGTAGAGAGAAGGTGGGGAGAAGAGGGGAGCAGGGGGGAACCAATCGCAATGATTGACACATAACTGCACACACACCCATCCAGGGGGACGAACAACAGAAACCATGGGTGAAGGGAGACAGCAGTAGGTGTAAAATATGAAAATAATAATAATTTATCATTTACCAAGGGGTCATGAGTGGGGGAAAGGGAGGGGAAAAAAGAGGAGTTGATCGCAAGGGCTCAACAGAAAGTAAATGTCTAGAAAATAATGATGGCAACAAACATATAAATATGCTTGATACAGTTGATAAATGGATTGTTATAAGAGCTATAAAAGCCCCCATAAAATGATTTTTAATTCAAAAATATGTATACATATCATATGTATCATTTATTGGTGAATATTGTCACTTATTCCTAATAAGAGAAGCACATTAAGATTTTTTTAAGATATTAAAAAAAGTTCCTAAACTTTCTTTTTTAAAGCACTTATCTTTCTCTCACAGTCCAGTGTAGCTAAAAGATGAACGTATGTTCATGAATCATGGTTGCACACTCACAAATCAGGTTCTTGTCCAAGTTCAATATCTTCAGGTGGTATTGGGTAAAGAGCTTCATACGTTCTTTCAGTCCCAGACCCATGAATTGCATAGGAATTCATCTTGTCAACACTGGGTGGAAAATAGTCCCAAGGAATAAGTGCAGTCCCAATCCAATGATCTCCAATTATGTTGGCTTCAAACTGTAAATCCAGTTCTTTCTTTTATAGTTAAGAAGAAATATTCAAAACAGCATAATTCAAAATTGATTCAATATACTCAACAAATAGAACCAACAGTGTTATTTTATTTTATTTTTAATGTTATTGCTTTGCAAGGCAAACTAGTCATTTATGGAACCTAGATTGAAGATTCCTTAGTGACTCCAAAGAGGAATCACCCATCATGATTTTATTATTAATAAAAAGTTAAGTATCTTTATATTCCAATAGTATACACATGTGAATTGTCAGGTTCAATGTACACAGATGGTTAAGTTTTAAAGGGGTCATAATGCCATGACTGACCTGTGCATTGGTTCTTCATGTGTGGGCCTCTAAGAAAAAGTGGTTGGACTGTTTTGCTCACTCATCAGTCCACTGTCTTGTGACCGTTAACATCCATGCTGAGCTCTTGTATGCAAACCAAGATATTAGAGACCTACTAAGTCAACACCTTAATGCAAGGAGCCTTACCTCTGATTTAGGGTGACAATTTGAGCAGGCTTTTTATAAATTCTCATATCTACTTGATACTCTTTCTCATGTTTTCAAACACTGATAACATTATATTGGCCTCACTCACTTGATCATCAAAATTTATTTTGCCATTTCATCAGTTCTGTGTATTTTTCATAAATCCTCTTTTGCTGATAAAAAAATGTTACAACATTGAAACTGTTTATCTATATATACACTTAGCCCTGTTGGCACCATCCGGTAAACGTTGAACTGCTAACCACAAAATAGACAGTTCAAACCCACTAGCCACTCTATGGGAGGAAGATGAATCTGGCTGATCCTATAAAGATTTCCAAATCTTCAGAAATCCGATATAGGGTCATTGGAATAGAGTCAATGGCAATGAGTATTAATATAATTTATTTTGTTTTACATGAATTGTTGACATGTACAGATTAAACTCTTATGTGACTGGACACTATCTACACAAATATTGGAGGACTTTATAGGGCTAAAATTTCAATAATACTCATTCACAAAGACAGAATCATACTCACTAGATTAACACATGATATAAGAAAGCAAGGAGGGCATAAAAATAGCAAATATGTGGTAGTCCCAGGCTACCATTCACGGTGCCCCCTTAAAGCAAGAGAGCCAACCCTCAGTTGAACCACTACCAATTCCATAACCTTGGGACAGTAGTCATCTGCTTCTTCTTACACTAGTGCGTGTCCACCTTAAGTCCAAGGGAGGATGTTGGCCCCTTAAATCTGCCACCGGATAAAGCCCAGTTAACATAGTGGAGTTTTCACACTGACTCCTGGTGTGAGCAGTGAAGGATGTTGTTGTAAACCTCAAAAGGACAGAATTGAAAGCCCAGTAGTCTATAGCACACAGCACAGGTCGCCCAGGAAAGAAACTAGGTCAAATGTGTTCAATTAGCACCAGAATACAAGGAGTATTCTCCCCCTGAGCTCTCACAAATATTGTTAGCCTGGTATACACCCCCAACAGAAAAGCAATAGCCTTCTCATGCCCGAACCCAGCCCCCACCCATCTTGACTTGAATCTCCAGTGAGGTTTGCTCATCACTCTTGTAGGAGTGTCTGTTTTTTGTGGTGACCTTAGCTCGCTGCTATATGGCAGCACCTGGATGGTCTTCTCCCTCTCCCCACATCTGGGATAACTGATCCTGGCTAAGATGAGAGTGCCCCTTTCAACGTTGTTTTTAACATGTACCTATAAAGAGGGTGACATATGGTTCATGGATGCTAGGCGGGCTCTCTACTTCATTGTTTGGGAGATCGGATTAGAAGACTGGATTAATATAATCTTTTAACAGAGATATGACATTAAAATTCGGAAGAAAGCTGAAACTTTGTACTGCCATAAAGAGTCACAGGAGCAGTTCTACCCTGTCCTGTAAGGTCGCTATGAATTGGAATCAAATCAACTCCAGGTCAATGAAAGAACAAAAGAAAGCGTAAACAAGAGGAATATTTGGAAACTAATCCTTTCTGGAACAGAGACTACTGGTTTCTTCTTTATTCAGATGATCTTCCCTTAGGCCTTCCTCCCGGGCACCTCTAGCAGATCCCATCAACCTTAATGAAGAATCTAATCTTAACTGAAGTCGACCAGAGTCATTGACAACCACTTTCTAAAAATTACCCATTTGGAAAATGGAGGTGATTGAATGCCAAATTACCTTATCTACTCATCCAACTCTACTCCCTCAGCAATCAAGACAATTTAATTAAGAAATTGTTTGAGGTTGGGGAATGGGGCTGCTGCAATAACATTGCCCACAGGACACTTTTCAACTTCGATGAAGAGACCGACAATCTACAATCTGTGCTCTTTGGTAAGCACAATCTGCTGATCCTTGTCATTTCTCCCTGGTAGTCTGTTCTACAACTACAGAAGAAAGTGCCAGTAATTTTCTCCAGGGGATCTCTGACATTCACTCTGGTGTAATTCCATAAACCTGGTAGTAGTTTGTGCCTCATTCTAGCTTTAAAAACCAAAACAATGGAGAATTTTAATAGATGATCCTTCCTCTAATAATTAAAATCCTTTCTACCGTCCTGCTGCAAAGAAAAACTTGATTGAATTAGCTGACCATCTCACAAGGTAGGAATTCAGATAGTGCTCCAGCCTCGCTAAAACTTCTCAATTT